CACTCTAGGTGTGACTCGCGTATTGAGATGCGACGTAGGGATAAAAAAATCCTGAACAGTTTTAATATTTTTAATATTTAATATTTATCAATATATATGATGAACATATATTTTAGTTATTTTATTATGAAGACGGCAAGGCATGCAGTGAAGTAGTTTAATGTAAATCGAAAAGCACCTGAAGATGGCAACTTTGTGCCGAAACATGTAGTGCAGGAGTGAAGAGTGAGGTGGATGAGTGTATGCACTGTAAGACGGCTGGAATAAATCATGGACATAAATCAGTGCAACAGGACGCTAAAATATAACATTGTTTATATTCATTCCTATTGCCCCAAAGAACATGTCTAAACATGCTCAACCGAGCTAGTAAGATTCCTCACCTTTCACTACAAACAAAGTAAACGTGTTGGGACATGATCACCTGAGCTCCTCACACCGCCAAACACACCCTACCAACCCCTTCCACTGCCCCCCCATCCCACCCATTTTCTATTTGTATTATTTTTTAGATTCACTCTTATAAATATTATTTTAAAGTAAGAAATAATTATTGGATATGGTTTTTAGAATCAACAATAGGATACCAGATTTCATGTTGAAGAGAAATTTCATGCAAATTTAAACTAAAAATATGAGTTTTGCAAAAAAATTGAGGTGATGTTTTTTTTTACTATTTTTTCCGGTTTTGGTGAGTAAAAACCTATAAGAAAGAGTAAAAATATCCTATGCAGTTTTTTGGTTGCAGACCTGTGTTATGTCACTGATAAGACACTGATTAACAGAAAAGCAAAGTGTAGACTCAACCTAGTCACTTTAAAATACTGCGTTGGTCTGTCTGTCCACAGAACCACACATTACTCCTATAACAGTAATTTTCCGTGTCATATCATGTGAGATACAGTAACAAAGGTACCAGCATCTGTTTATGTGTGTCTAAAAATGGGTGCAAAGACATTGCACATACTCTCTTGTATGTGTGTTTGGGCCTCAAGATACCACCCATGCATATTTATTTACAGAGACAGTTTCGATTAATTACTCGAATGTAATCAAAATTGTTTGAGCAATTTTCGAGAAAATAGTAATTTTGTTTCCTGGGGGCCATTTGAAGGGCTCATATTTTTTGAAACAGAATCTTCATATTCGCCTGGTACCGACCTATAACACATGAACTCTTGAATAGCAAATATGAATAAAATCCTTCCAACGCCTCAGGAAATAACGAGGTGCACATACAATACAGTATACTCGTATATGTACACAGAGTAGACAACATCATAAAACCACTCTTTGTTATTCAGGGGTGCTGAAAATGTGTAAATCCTTCCAAATTTTGACAATAATTTTTTCAGTATTGAAATACTTTCATACATCATATATCAAACACAGAGTGTCTCAGGATGAAAGGTCAGTATTTTAAGAGGTCATAATTTCAGTCATTCTGAACAAAAATTTTGTGTGTACATGTGTCCTGTTTTGAACGGTTTCCAAGATAGAGTTGTTTCACTATACAGTACACTGTACACTGTACAGATGAGCAAAATGCCATGTTCTCACATGAATTGCAAAGTGCACTAATGCTGACGATGGAATTTTCGAAAATGTATTATAATAGGTAAACTGTACCAACTTGAGCAATAAATACAGGTATTAGTAACAGTATGTAATATCAATTTCTTATCAATAATTTTGGAACTGTACAGTGAAATTGCTGTATCTTGGAAGCCATTTGGAATAAATCACATGTACATATATACTTTTTTGCTTAGAATGATCAATACTATGACATCCCAGAATTTTGACCTTTCCTACTAGAACATTCTGTATCTCAGACAATAAAGAAACCTCAGAATCAATTTGAATAATAAGAGTATTATGAAGGAATCTGCCCCCTGAAAAGCCTCCAACCTGGAGGCCCAGACCAGAGCCCCTTTAGCTGACATTTTACAGTTCTCTAGGTACATCACAGCACAGTGGTCTTGGAGCTCATGCAGTCCCACTTACACTTTGCTCTCTAAGGAAGTCTGTTACTTCACTGTTGTCTGTCTCCCACAATGAGAATGTGGGGTTAGATTTTTGGAGACATTTAGAATTAAAAAAAATCATATAAGTAGTGCTTGTATTGAGAAAGGCAGTTTTAAATGTATTTTTTGATATATTTCAGTAAAATGTGGGATCTAAACAAATTTAAAACAATGAAACAAATATTTTAAGGTATGTATATTTTCTTCATTTGCATTTAAGATGATGACCAACAAATACTAAATTAGACTCTATGAATATAAGTATCTCCCAAATTACACAATGTCATCTTAACAGAATTTTGAACACATAGATTTTTTAAATTTAATCTTTTAGTGATATCTAAGAAATAATTGAATTATTCATCAGGAATGAAAAAAAGATCTGGTTATGTAAATGACATTAAAATTAACAGAATCATGTACTTTTCAACCTGAGTCAAAGCAAGGAAGCCAAAGAAATGGCAACAGATTTGAGTAACGTGACCATTACATCAGCAGATACTTGTGTAAAGGTTTGTGATATGCTCACATACTAAAATCTTAGATAGATTTAAGTATACTGTTATGTTGAAGTCACAATTCCACCCTCTGTTTAAGACTGATATATATGCACATCCTAATAGCATTCTGTTGTCAGGGTTCAAACATGAATTTGGGCGAGGCACTCCAATTTCTCAGGGAATATGACCGGGAAGCATCTGGAATGTGTTTCCGAGTGACATCATCCCAATGGAACTACAGTACTAACATTACAGAAACAAATAAACGTCGTATGGTGAGTTTTATACTAAGAAGTACAGTCTATTGCAACCTCTCATTGCGAACCTGAACAGAAATTTTAAGATTAGGTCTTCCAATTTTGTGTATTTCAAGCGACTTCAATTGGTTTACTTCTTTATTTTTATATAAAGTTTTACTGCCTTAATGATGGGAGATTGGGTTTTCAACTTTAGTAAAAGCTAATGTGTGGTATTGCATAAAAATATTTCTAATAAACCTCTTTGGCTGATAAAGTGTATTTTAAAATGATTACAGACTATTTTTAAAAATTTTCATCTTTAAAAGTCCATTTCATATATATTCAAGGAAATAATTTTCAAACTAAATTATTACTCTGGTTACAGGACCAAAAAAAATTATCATCAAATAATTTCTGAATGGTGATGATTTTTATAAAACACATACAAATAACATCAGCCAATATTAACAACAGCTCATGTCAAGTGAATTCAAAATTGTGACATCAGAAGCCTAACATATTCTATTTCTAAAACACAGACTTCTTTTGCACTAATTCTCATTTCTCTTGCTGCAGGAAAGAGCTACACAACATGTCTCATAAAATGCAGCCACACACAATATACAGCAAATAATATGCAGCCTACTGCAAAGAACTTTTTACTTTATATACTGAACAATATTCAACATTCCTCTAGTTACCATAACTCCTTCACTGTTATGATTACAGAAGTGGCTCCTATTGGATTCAGATGCAGATTCTTCATTACAAATTGACCTGAAATATATCAAATACTCATGTTAAATATTTGCCTAGGCAATGTATATCTCCCTCTATTTAATCAATCATTTGTGTAAGTGTTAAGATGTATACATAGAATATAAACTGCAATTGCACAGCGGGCCATTTTGTGACATTAATATTACTTAGATACCAGAGTTGCTGTTGCAAATGAGAAAAAAGCGATTCAATATTCTCAATTCTGATTTTATCATTGATAAATATTCTTAAATTATTATGGTATTCACGCAGTATGAGGTTCTAATATGCTCCATTATTGTTGTAAGTTCTTGTCACAGGTGTAGAAAGCCTGTGACTGGAAGCAGTGATGCTAACTTTCCACTTAATAGAGAAATTCAGTGAAAAATATTCAACAATTAATATTTACTCTGATGAAGGTTAAATGTTTTTTATTACATGAGATGTTTGTCCTGTATATTGTGACACTGGACATGTTGCCCTGGCAGTGAGACAACATGCCCCATGCTGGGGCTTGAGCATGTAACTAGGCCACCCTGTTTCTGGGGGATATAAATACAGGGACCTTGCCCTCCAGAATGGGGGAGTCTCAAATCTGAGACAATAGCGTCCTGTGGGACTCAGACCAAAGAATGACTGTGCTGGTGAAGGCCTGCAGTAATTATAAATGACAGACCTGTCCACTTGTCAGAGAGGGCACGCCCACATCAAACAAATCTGCAACTGTCTTTATGGTAACTAAAATATCTTGTGCCCCAGATGAGGACCTGAACTCAAGACAGACCGATCAACTGACCATCAGTTGTAACATAACTTTTACTTTGAGCTGGCTTTGTCAAGTCAGTTGAGAATTACAGTTGTGAGAGGTGAAAAGCTGGTAGCTGAGGGTGGGGACAGTTTGGGAGCCCAGAGGAAGGAGAATGCTGGCCCTTGAAAGCTACTACCAAGCAACGGCTAGTGAAGACTGAGAAGACTTTATCAGTGCTGTAGTTACAGTGATCTTTGAAGTGTGTAACTCAGTGAGACTGTTGTAGTTATTTGCAGTTATATTCTGTAAGTGTTCAATAAATGTGATTAGCAATCCAAACCGCATCTACAGTCACATTATCATGTGACAATATATCAATAGGGATGCATATTACGTGCTTGTCTGTGCATGAAATTTTCAGTTTCACTATTCTTTATGATTTCTGTCAGCCATTATGCTTGGTCTGTATACTATACCAGTAATAAAATCTACTGGCTCTAAAATATGAGCAAACCTTCACAGGGAAAAATTTGAGAGTTGTGTTTAGTCAAATGGTCCCTCCAATTAATAGAAAAGAACTTCAGTCTGAAGGAAATATGTCTTTTTTTTTGTTAGTCTTACTTATTTCACTACTAGATTCCATGAATAAATGATTATAAGTTCACAGAATTCTGCTCACACAGGTTTATATATTTCTGCTCATTTAATATTCTAACAGCTTGAGGAACAAGCACTAAGTGCGAAGTTTCACCGTTTATCATGGAGAAGAGCTACATCATATACATGGACACGGTTACCGGATCCAATTGTCAGAAGGCAGCTTCATATGTTAGCCATAGAGGGAAGAGCTGCACTCCCTGAAGAAAAGTTCAATGAGGTGATCTCTGTTCACAATGAAAAAATGCACCATAAGACTTCTGTATTTCTATTATTTGTATGTACATTGGGTGGTAACAGAAAGGCATACTAGTTCCTATTGCTTGTATTTAATGAAATGATACTTCGTTATTTTTGGGGACTGAAGGGTGGAATATGTGGGGCTTCATGAATTATACAGGATATCTTATAGTTGTAGGGCAATGAGAAGAAATAGGTTAGATAAGAAATGGTGTTGAAGACTGAATAAGGATTTCTGGTTGGGAAATATTTTGGAAAGAAACTACATGGTAGACTAAGAATGAGATGGGAAGATAATATGAAACACAACCTTAAACAAGTATGTTTTGAAGAAATGAAGTGGATGGAACTGGAAAGTAGAAACACTGTGTCACAGATTCCCTAGTTAAGAAACAAAGTGGATGCATATAAGAAGTGTGTATTATATGTGTTTTTAACATGCTCCTTAGTCTGTGTTACATTCCATAGTGCTGACGCACATAAAAACAATATTATACTGCTGCATTCTGTTGCACTGTGTATTCTAAATTAGCACTCACATTTCTCACCATCCCTGTGAAACTTTATCGATATATTAAAATTCACACTTCAAAAGCGTTCAACTCTCCGTATTATTCGAACATTATATGTGTGAGTTAAAAACAGAAACTGGTTCTGACCACTATTTGAATAATTTCTCATAATTATTTTTGTTGGTATGTATTTGTTTCAATATCTAAAAAAAATTGCTTTCTTGTTTACAGCTACAACAATTGATATCAGATATGAAAGAGATTTATTCAAGAGCACGGACTTGTCCTCATTCAATTAACAGCATTAATTACAATTACAGGCAGAGTGGAAGTTGTGATCTAGCACTTGAGCCTGGTAAGACCAGTCACATATTCTTCCCGCCTATAACCAAAACTAATCATTACATTAGGTGCTATTATATATGAGTAGGGGCTTAATTTTTTTTATAATCACAGTCCAATTATAACACTGTAACAAGTGATATTGAAAACATATAACATACTGGTTTTAAATAAGGATTTCTCATGAAAATTATGACAGCAGATGACAGGGAGGGTACAGTAGGTAGGTCTATAAAGAAATATCATGGGAACAGAAAGTATTACTTTGTTTCTCTCTTGCTTTATGAAATGGCACCATACCAACACTTCGAAACAAAGTTCACTATACTGATAAAATTCTTAGTGATTATGTCTTGTCTCTGTATGCATGGGCCATTGCTGCAGTTATTATTACTGACATAATTACAAGCAGCTCAGCAGTAAATAGAGACTGAAAATTAGTTTATTTTGAATCATAATTTGTAAGAATCACACACACCACCATGTATCATACATATATGTATACATTTTCATCTAGCTTTAATGGCAGATGAACCATAGAAAGTATTCTAAATTTGAGATGGAAGACTCAGGAATGCAACACTGGAGAATATGTGGGAGGGAAAACAACAGGTACAATGTTCTGACTATCATCCTTGCCCATTAACTTCTGATATCCTTTTGTATGATTCAAATTGCTATAGTTGTCTCCCAACACCCCCACTCTGCATTCACTAGAGACATTTTAGGTAATTTAGGCATATGTGTGTGTATACTTATATATATATAAATATTTATTTATTTTTCAAATTATCTAATGTATGACTGTTCTTCTGTAGATCTGACCCGAATAATGTCTCATTCACGGGACTATGAGGAGCTGCTTCATGTGTGGAGAGCATGGCGTGATGCTGTAGGCCCGCCAATCAGGAGCAAGTATATTCGTTACATACAATTAGCAAACCATGCAGCTAGACTAAACGGTAAGTCGTTATCTTTTATTAACACCAGATTTTCTTGCAGCATAGGAGATTCTACATATAGGCCTATTGGATTGAAGAGCAATAACAATTTTCATTAACTCTCCATTCCAAAACAGCAGAAGTGCAGAATATTAAATTACAAAGCTAATAAGCAAAAGCAGTTCATTAGAATAACAATTATAGAACCATTGTGTTCAGTAAATTACCTTCCTTCAGTCATTTACATCCATTATTTTTAATCAAATTGATATCATAAATACAATACTATATAAAGTGGATGGTGCAAGTACTTATGTTTGTATGTCATAGCCATTCATGAGCTGTATATAGTAGTTTGTATATTTTTTGGAATGTTGTATTTATATATTGCTCCTGATTGTAAGAAATGTTGGTAGTATGCTTGTAACTTCGTAGATTTATTTTGTTAACTTGTATTACCGAATGACATGTCCAATTGTTACTATGAAACAAAATGGATGAAATAAAATACAATACAATACAATACAACACATAGGATAAGTTCCTGTATACAAATAATGATGATGATGAATATTTGCCTTACACTATCATAACTATGCTCATTTATTTATTTGTAGTATTAGTATTATGTATTAGTAACTCGGGATATATATTGTCAAATAGTTTGATGATAGGGGGTAATGAATTGGAGAGGATATGGAAGGAAGTGGTCATTATTATCCCAGCATTGACCCGGAGCGACTGAGCAAATCCATGAAAATGCCTCACTCAGGATAACTGATGTCCCAGATGAGATTTGAACTGGGCCCATCTTGAATACAAATCATGGATATTAGTACTCTTTCAGAAAGTATGCTTGGTCATACCCATGTTAATTTCATGATTTATTTGGTGGGTTAGGTTTCCATGATGCAGGGCAGCAGCAGAGAGAGGGTTATGAAGACTCCGATATTAATACTCAACTGACAGAGCTCTGGACAAATTTAGCACCACTTTACAGGGAGCTTCACGCATATGTGAGGCATCGACTTGTGGAGAGGTATGGCCCTGAACGTATCAGACCCGATGGACCATTGCCAGCGCATCTGTTAGGTAAGAATCTATGAAACAGAGGTACGCATAATTGTAACAAAGGAAGCATGTCTGTCAAAGGAATTATATATGTTCATAAGTCAGGAAAGAAATCACTTCCCCCAATAATATGGGAGAAATTTGTATACTTTTTTTTATTGCTAGTGTGGTGGGACTAAGTCCCTTGAACTGTGTCCACTTCTGGCCTATTGTACCAGCCCCAGATGATAGGTGAGGGTGATTGTGGAGCAATTGGTGGAATGAAGAGTGGCTGGGGAAACCGAAGTACTTGGAGAAAACCTGCCCCAGCGCCACTTTGTCCACCACAAATCCCACTTGACCAGACCCGTGATCGAACCTGGGCCACCGAAGTGGGAACCCAGCGACTAACCACTTGAGCTATGGTGCGGCCTAATTTGTATACTTAATAAATGTTAAAATGAATTAAAGTTGCCTATATTTCTTAAATGTCTTTCAGCTGAACAAAGAAGTAACAAAATGACATAAGCTAAAATTAAATACACAGGCTCTATCTCTCTCATAACTTTCTACTGCTGAGGTCCAAGTATTCTCTTCAGCAGTATTTTGTTCCTTGTGAGGTCACAAGTTACAACTTAGCCTTCAGTCTGACTATTCTGACTGAGGTTTCTTCATGGTTCTCCTCTCTCCTTCCAGGTGAATGCCAGGAGAGTACCTGAAATCATGCTTTCATTACTTCCTTCCACATACTTTACTGTTAACTAATCATTTTTTTTAATTCGCATAGTGCAGGGGGAGTGCAACTGGGTCTGCTCGGCACGGTGGCCACTGATTGGCCTATCGTAGCCTGCCCCGGGTAATTATGATAATGGAGAATTTGGTGGAATGAAGATTGTCAGGGGAAACCGAAGTACTCGGAGAAAACCCGCCCAGCGCCACTTTGTCCACCACAAATCCCACTTGACCAGACCCGGGATCGAACCCGGGCCACCACGGTGGGAAGCCAGTGACTAACCGCTTGAGCTATGGTGCGGCCAATTCACTAATCATTTATAATTTGACACTTTACAGTTACAGATACTGAAAATGTTATTCAGTAAACTCTAAATAAATATATACTTAAAGTCAGAGACAAAGCATCACAGTTATATACAAAACAGGTAAAATTATAGGGGAATATATATTTTAATCTTTAAAATGTAGAGAGGAGATGAGAAGATATAGGACACTGAAGTGAACGGTACAAAGTATTTCTTGAATTTAATTTCCTTAAAAATTTATATGAAATATATTCATGTTGGACAAATTTACCAGTTAGACATATAGCTGTTTGATTAACCGAAATGGAACCTGAAAAATATAAGAGCATTATTCACATTTTACATAATACTGTCATGTGTAGGGGGATACAAATGTCAAAATGACGGGTTCTAGTTCAGATGGTTGGCTTTATTGACAGCTTGGTTACACACTCTATCTTGATTACACTCTAATACAGCTCTATCGCTGAATTACACACATAAGATCTTCTAATCCACTTTTGCACGCACCGTCACACTTACTCTTATGCAGTCTTCTAAATCACAGCTGTCATTCTCACAGGCAACCTTCTGTATCCCTGGTTCACTTTGCTTGCTTCTGCTGCTATCAACTGCTCAATACTCGTAACTCGTACTCAGTACTCAATACTGCTCATAACTCATACTCAATAATCCTAAAGTCAGCCAGTCTGTCATGGCATAAAGCATCCATTTGGGGCTTGCGACCAGATATTTATTACTGATTGACAGTTACGGTCTTGTTTTTATGGGGCACCCTATCTGACGAGAGGACGGGTCTGTCTTTTTTATATGCTGCTGGCCCTTACCAGTGCAGTGTTTCTTGGGTCCGAGTGCCAAGGGACTCGCCACCATATTTTACTGTCTCAGATGTGAGACTTCCCTTTTCGTTGCCTCCTACGACTTGCAGGGTCACGGTGGAGGTATTCGACCCCGCCTCCACATGGTACTAATCCTGAATAGCGTTCACTGCTCCTTATATAGGCTTGGCATGGACCACATAGTTAACCACATTGCTGTCCGGCAACAGATATCAGGTATTGTTGTCAGGTGTGACTACCCACGCATTGCCTAGCAATGGACGCCCTACTGTTGCATGATGTCACAGCCTAGAGGGGAGGAGTGTTTACCGAGTGTCGTGCAGCAATGGGAGTGGGGTTATGTGATGTCACTTGCACTTCATGTTGCGCCATCCAAGTGTTCACAGATTTGTTGCCTAGCAACGCGCTGATAAAATCCGCAACTCTCACATTGTGTGGGTGCCCCGAGGCCTCTGTGGCTCAACAGTTCCAGCATAGAGGCAATACACCATATTGCTCCCTCCTTAAGGCTGTTTGTCCCGAATAGCCTAATGGTGCATCCCTGTTCCTTTCCTTCTGAGGCTGTGCATGCTGCGTCTTCTTTTGGTTCGGCTACCCTTCTTGCAGCGACTATTCTCTGACCGTTACATCCACTCCCTTCTTAAAAGCAGCTCGTCCCGAGCGGTCCCCTTATGAGTTTCCAGTCAGTCCAGATTCTCAATATAATTCACTGTTCTCTTCTCTTTCTCTCTCATTCACTCACTTGGGAGGCTGGTGCTTCTATGTTACCAGCTCCTCCTCTGTTTCATGCCTCTTGTTCCGTTTTGGAGGGGGTCGATCCCTCCACAAGGTCCAATCCTTGTTTGCCCAACTGCAGATATGGCCATCCACTTCGCACTCTCCAGTCTGAAGGTCTTCCTGAAGATTTTGATCATTATTCCTCTGTTACACTGCTGTTGCACCCGTTGTCTCCTCTAATATTCGAATGTCTAATATTTGGGTCTGAAAAGAGATGCTAGCAATTTAAAATGTGAAAGTAACCATGTATCACAGTTCTTATGTGCTTAGTTAAAGCTTAAAAACGTGGAATATGTATTATACAGGAAATATGTGGGCACAAAACTGGCGCAGCCTAGCAGATCTGGTGTTGCCATTTCCAGCAAAACCAACAGTGGATGTATCATCTGAAATGCTGAGACAGGGCTATACACCACTCAGGTAATTAAATAAATGCAAAAGAAAATATATGGATAAATTCATAAAATATAAAAATGCTTAGACAGAGAATCAAGATTCTTAGGGACATGAAATGGATCAAGTTGATTTAAATGCATCTGATTTAGACCTCTTTTGATTCTCAATATGAATCAATAATTTGACTTCGCCACTCCAAGCAAATAACAAGCAAATAATACACTAGCATAAGCTAAACTGCTCTTCTTTAACTATAATTCGTGATAATTTTATAACATCATGCATCAAATGTTACATAACCTGAGTAATTGAAACAGTGCCATCAAAGAGCATAACAAACAAAATTAAAGAGAGCATCCCAGTTAAATAATTGCATGTAAATATTAAATATGAAACAGCTCTGCTAATTATTCATAACTTTTAATATGTATAACATGAGTAATAAAATGAAAACTGTTTTAAATGTTGACTAGGTTAGACACTTGACAAGCAGAGCATATATTTGAGGTTTTATGATTAATTTAATGTGTCCTTATCAATATTGGAGATTATATATGTCTTCCAATAAAAGAAATTTGTAGCTTTGAATGAAAATCGAAATGAACTGAAGAAAATGGTCATATCACACTTAAGACACAATTCTAGCATTTGCTTGGAGAAACTGAGGTATAAATCCATATAAATCACATATAAATTTTATATTAATTTTACTGCAGCACTCAGTATTTATGTAGCAAACATAGAAAGACTGATGGTAAATATTAAATCTAAACTTCGCCGTGAAAACACTGTTTCAGAATTTTGTGACATGTTATCACTCTTTCCATCATTTTCTCAGGATCTGATTATCCAAATATGTTTACTGTGGCACATAATTAATACTTGCTCCTAGTTATAAGTGGGGCCATAAGGTAGCATAGTTGGTTGAGGCACTACGTTACAAGCTGGAAGGTCTGGGGTTCAGTTCCTGATGAGGTCATGGGGTTTTTCAATTGACATAATCCTAGCAGATGCACTATGACCATGGGGTTGATGCAGCTTCACACAGAACTGAGCACCAGGAATGTTCATGGGACTAAAGGGCAGCTGGTGTTGTAACGCCGTGGTGCAGGGGGGGGTGGAGGTACCCCTCCTTGCCACCACAGCTTACACTGTAAGGAGTTAACACAATACTCCTAGCTTACCCTCAGCTAGGATTCTCCTGTTTCTGGGCTTCCTTCTCTCATAAAGCTACCACCATCTATTGGTGAAAAGTACCAAGGGCCGGTAGCGCGGTAGTCGAGCGTTCTCTGTTGGCTGGCCCTTTCCTCCTTGTCACCTATTATTATTGGCGTAGAGCGGGCGTGCTGGGTCTGACCCGCCTCTACCTATCGTCTGTCATCTCTATGGTGGGAACTACCCCCTGACATATTGTCATAGCTCCCTCCTGGCAACTCTTCATATAGTCTGCAGGTAGCAACATACAACTCATTATTATTATTCTTAAGGGGGCGTTGATACCAAGGCTACTAAAGGCTGCCTGCGTGGCAGGTGCCTATCCCTGTCCAGTAGTACCTCCCCTTAACTGTGGTTGCATTCGACTGCTGTTGCCTTTCATTTTGGTAGGATCTGTGGGATCGGTCGTGGAAAGGTGATTATGGAGGTGTGAATCACAATCCCGGTATATCCTACTCTAACTACCCTGTCTATTTACACTCTTATTTACATTATTTACAATATTAACAAGACCGACCTACAGTTGGGACTACATAGTGTCTTTACTTCATTCTACGCTTCCTCATGTTCTCCCTTAAAATAATCTGCCCGTAAAGTTACACATATTAAAAGCCCATATACCATGTTTATCACAAAAATCATTAGTCATAACTATAACGCAAATGTGCGAAGTCTACACACTACCAGTAATCTTAACACATACACCATAACACAGCCATATTGCCGGACTATCTTCCTAGGCAATTACATGTTACATGATTTCTAGTATTCTCCCCTAAGGGCTCACCGGGCACACTGGAGTTTGCTTTCAATATTTTCCACACACTTTTATCAACAATACTATTTAACAACATGGCTTATATGAGTAAACGTGACTTACGTGAAATAAGAGAAGCAGGCCAACTTCCACCGCTCGTAAGGCCCATCTCGACTAGAGCCTCCGGCTGAAAACTGAATATTATGTTTGAGATCAGATTTCTAAGTCTCCTAAATTCAGTAATTTATATCTTTAACTTGCTGAATCGGCGGTTGATGAAAGAGGGAGGTTAACTCCTCCTTTCGTCCTAAATTTCGGGGTGGAAGGTTTCCATTGGCTACCCCTACGGTTGTGGGTGGGCCCGTGGTACCTCATGGCTGCATCGTTGATAATATTATTATACGCCAGTGTCCCTGCAACGCGACTTGCAGAAGTGCTATTGCGCATTCTGCTAAATCAGGCATTCTTAACCTAGATTGCCCGTCCAGGTGTTGACATACTAATGTAATTGCTGTAAAACGTTTGTCGCAAGTCTTGAAACATTTAAGCAACGTCTTTTGATTTTCAGTCTTGAATTTGGACACGACAGGTGTGTAAGGTTGACAACCTCACTGCCAACTGTGAGTCGATCATCTAGAAAATGTGGGAGCCTTGATGCCTCACAATCCTATGGGCCTCCATGGCCTGATACAGGGATAGTTTTACTTTTCTTTTCCTACTTATAAGTTCATGGTGAAAACAGCTATTGCAGTGATAGCCAAAATATTACAAAATATATTGTAACGTTGATGCCCAAAGAGTTTGTAGGCAATGGCTCAATAAACACATTCTCACGAATATGCAACAGTGGAAACTGTGTTCGCTGTGGGCTATGCTACAACTAGTTGCTAGATGACACAATACTGCCGACAGTGGAGGAGAGTGTTTTCTATGTGTTTTGTGCCATGACCGTTGCTGTCCAACAGCTTGGTAAACAAACTTCAGTAATAGAGATACTGTTTTCTGTGCGGTCCGTGCTGTAGCTACATCATGAGGGCTGTGAGCTGTAAGTTCAGAGAGACAGTGATAGTCAGTCATAAGCTGGAAGAGCGAAGTGGAACTAGGAGTGAAGAGTTCAAATTCAAGTTCAAGACAGAATTAATTCATGGCAGTTACGAGTGAGAGAACCAGTTCAGAGCAGAATTCATGAGTTACGAGTTATGAGCTATGAGTGAATAATAGTGGCAAAATGATGCAAACAGAGGTGAGAGAAAATCCACATAACTGGACAGAAAACTCAGCTAAGAAACAGAAGATGACAGATTAGTCAGGCTGCATCGTGTGGAAGACTATTTTTGAGTAATTGTAATTGTAATTGTAATCAACTTATCCATTAAATCAATCCACCTAATGTGGAACCCATTAACTTCTTGTCACATTACCAGGATATGTGACAATATATACAAATTTTATTCTTGTACAAACAAACCCAACATCATGTACCAGGCACTGGTCATGAAAGTATACTATTATTATGAACAAAGTGGTAAGTATTTGAACAAGTTACTTGAACTTAATTAAATTCTAGTACTTGGAACCATATATACAAACATACATTCAGCCTAAAAGTGAACTTCTTTTGACAAGAAATGTACTGTGATGTGGATGATGCAACAGGAAGTAGTATTTATTTCTAAATTAAATGACTCTGTTTGGAAATATTAATAGGATGTTTCATCTGGCTGAAGAATTCTTCACATCCCTAGGGCTTAAACCAATGCCTCCTGAATTTTGGCGCCATTCGATGCTTGAGAAACCTCTAGACAGAGAAGTGGCTTGTCGAGCTTCAGCATGGGACTTCTGTAATCATAAAGACTACAGGTAAACCTTGGACACACAATCAGAAATTTGTATAATCTGTAGCTAGAGGATAGAAATGTTAAAAATCATTGGACAGAAACTAAATTTGAATATTAGGATTAGCAAATAATGCATTCTCATAGTTTTTATTAAAAAGCATTTCCTTTGCACCCTGTAACTGGCAGTGGCATATTCCTCTGAAGCACTGGCAAACATCTAACAGACTGTAAAACAGCACATCCTAGAAGACAGTAATATCTGTAGAAATATTTCTGAAATAATTCTAGCCTTTACATATTACTTGGACAAGTTTTCTGCACCATGGTGCTCCACTGTATGCACAGATGGCTGTGTTGTGCGCATGGTAAAAACTACAGCCATACATCTTCAGGTATGGTGTTTAATTGAGAACAGGGATAACTTTTCCTTTACTTTATAAACAAGTTAAGTGAATAATTTATTCTATGTGGGCTTCGGTTTGATATATGTAAAGTGAAAGAAGCTAAGTATTGTGTAGTTGCTCTTGTATACTTATCATTGGGTATCTTGTAAAGGTTTTCATACTTTAGACAACAATACTTTCAGAAAGGTCTTTACTTTTTCTTTCTCTCTTCCTTTCTTACTTTCTTCCTGATAGCTTCCAGCATCTACTGTCAACTATATCCTCCACTTTAATATTCCAATAAACTTGAAGATCTCTGGAAGCCACTGGTGACCTCTATGCCACAGAATTTCACAAATATGTGTTTGTAATGGATGTAACAGGTTTTGCATATGTATCACTTGGTAACAGCAGAGTCCAGCTTCATGACAGTCTAAGTAGCAGACTCGCATGCACATGTTCCGAGGGTGCTTTAAGTAGTCAAAATGGCGACCGTGCTTGTGGAGTGTATTACCGAAGAGATGATTTCTGTTGTGCTTTCTTTGTGGCCAAAAGGACTCAACGCAAACGATGTTTATAAAGAAATGTTTTCTCTTAATGGTGGGAAGCATTTGTCGCATTAAACAATTCACAACTGGGCTGAGAAATTTTCTCACGGACATTTGAAAGTCACAGATGATGAAATGGAAGTGCAGAACTAGCTGAGGCAAAAGCCAAAAGACTTCCATACTGTGAGATTCAACGCACTGGTAAAGCAATAGTACAAGTGTATCAATTTTGGTGAAGGACATGTTGAGAAATAAATGATTTTCAAGGTTTGAATATCAAGTGTTTTACGTTTTACATTCATCTATGACTTATTTATTGACTCTCCCTCGTTAATATTAACAATGTGGCCATTCACCTGTAATGACTTCTTCTTGCTTACAATACTTCATAAATAAATTACATATTCAATTTTATGAAAGAAACTTTCTTTTTTGATTCTCCATTGGAAAATAAGGGGTTGCCTTGTATTTATTGTTGCCTTATATGGTATTTTGTTTCTTGGTGTTCTTAAAATTATCTTAACTGTAATACGAGAATATATTTCATTTGTGAATAAACGTTTATTCACATTTAAATAATATAATCATATAAAATTATATTATAAGTGATATGTACATTCGTATGTCCTGAATGTAAAAAAGCAGAGGATAATAATATTAACTGTGTGTATGAAGACTTTTTAATTATCATTTTGTGACAAGCATACATGATTTAGTAAAACATGACTCATTTCATAATGTTATTGAAAATGACAATTTGTCGTGCTGTGTTATCAAGCTCTATAAACCCCATAGCTGCCATGTTAAGCTTTTAGCTGTAGGAACCAGTAGCTTAGAGTTGTTTATCACTTCCAGGATCAAGCAATGTACCACAGTGTCAATGGATGACTTACTAACTATACATCATGAGATGGCTCACATCCAATACTACTTACAGTATGCAGACCAGCCCTTGCTGTTCAGGGATGGAGCTAATCCTGGTAAGACTGTCTAGTTTTCATGGATTCATATTCATATTCATATTCATATTTATTTGCATTCATACTGTTACAACTGCAACACTTGAAAAAGTCAACTCACTAAATACATCATTGTTAAAAGCTCTATAATCCTATAATGTATTAGACTAAAAATAAAACTGTACTTGTCGTACAACATCACTAAGAATTTTAAAAATATAACAATACATACTACAATTCCCTTTTCTTCTCTTTTTTTGTTAATTAAAAAAACCTTGCTATGCTTCCTCATGTCCCTGTTGAAGAAACTCATTCAATGTATAAAAAGGACGATCAATTAAAAATAATTTTAATTTATGTTTAAATTCATTACATCCCTTTGACTTTTTAACTTCCAAAGGAAGTATATTATATAATTTAATGCCCACATTAATAACACTTTTCTTAAAAACTGATGTGTTACATTGTTGTACATGAAGATCATATTTCCTCCTAATATTATACTCGTATAAATCAGTATTTCTCGAAGTGTATATATTATATCTCTTAAAATAACACAACACCTCTATGATGTACAAGGACGTAATAGTTAAAATCTTCAATTCTTTAAATAAAGGTCTGCATGACACCCTGTTATTTACACCTTTCATGAAACGAAGCATCCTTTTTTGTATTTTAAAGACTTTAATACTTTAATTTTCTCCTCCCGAAAAAATCAACCCATAACTTACTCAACGATTGAAATTTGGCAAAGTATATATTCCTGAGTATATGTAAACTTACCTCATCTTTCAAAGATTTAATAATATAACATACCTTATTCAATTTTGAACACAAGGACTGAATATGTACACTTGAGATTTTGAGTTATATTAATACCTAAAAATCTAAACTGAGATGTATACTTAATTTTTATATTATTAAGAATAATATCTGGCCCTGAGATGTCATGCGGTTTCTTTAACTGGAATAACACAGCTTTAGTCTTATCATTATTTATAATCATATTGGTTTTTGAAAACCAAGATTCCAGTTGGATCATAATTCTCTCATAATTCTCATAATTGGATCTCACTAATGTTATTAGATTGCATTATTTCATTTATACCACTAAAACAATTAGTCATCATTAAAAAGCTGGAGATAAAGACAGTAACACTTCAATATTTTATCCGTGATTTCAACTTATTCAGTTCATAGTAAGATCTTACTGATTGTTTCTCATGAATGAGATAAGTTTTATATACAAAATGACTTCACCTTCAGCTTCATCTGATCTGTACATACATGTTTTGTGTTTTTATGACCTATTCCATATCCTACTGCCATTTCTGATTGACTTTGGATCCATAGAATGGAACATACATTTATGTACTCTGTTAATTCTGACACTGCTATGAAGTGCACTATGTTATGAGATACGACACCACATGCTAGGTTAGCAAACTTGTATTGGTTGCTTGGAATATTCTTAGACCCTGAAGATGAAGGCAGAGCAATACCCGAAAGTTTTGGCACATTTCTACCAGACTACATGGCAACAAACTCCAAAAGATGACTCTTTGTCATAATAGGTCTATAGGCTTCTCATTACTCATTCTTAAAACTCAGTATTCTCAACCTCACTGTAGGGAACACTAAAAAAATAAAATTCAGAAAAATTATGTGGGTCATGAGATAAATACCAACAAATATAGGCATATGACAATGATCCACATAGACCTAGTAAGAGAAGATTTTACACGTCATGGACTACATATAAGAAATTCAGATAAAGACAACCTAGTAACGCTACTAATGGAAAAAATTTAAATGCAGCTGCAGGAAATAAAAATTGGAATGCCGATTAGTCTAACATGGAAGGAGGACGCAACAATAATCTCAGCTGATGATCAGGGAATAGCCAGTGCAGTGTCACAAACTATTCCCTCTAGAAGACATCGGAAGATCCCAAACACAAGAAGTGAGGATTTTTTATGGGAATAACTCATAATGGAAACAACAGTCAGCAGAATTGTCTTGTCATATATCATCAAAATATAAGAAGCATTAGAAATAAAAAAGAATTAGCTATTTTTTAAACAGTGTATATAATAATCCTGATATTTTATGTATTAGTGAGCATCATTTGAGCACAGACGCGTTATCCATGTTCTTCATGACAAAATATAAAATTGGCAACAGGTTTTTCACATAATATGTCTTAAGAATGGAGGAGTTTGTATATTAGTTAAGAATAATATAACATATAAAAAGCTAAATCTTAATAAGTTAAGTAAGGAGAAGGTTTTCGAAGCCTGTGCGGTGAAGTAATAAGAAATTAGGTATTTTGTCTCTACAGAGTACCAGATGCGGACATGAGCCAATTTATTGAGCAGCTGGATGCTACACTTTCATATTTAGTAAGCCTTAAATTGTAACTGATAATCTGTGTCGATACAAATATAAATTACCTTAATGAAAACCATAAAAAAATACAGTTACAATCCTTATTAGATACTTATAATCTAGCTGAAATAATTGACTGTCCGACTAGAATAGGTCCCACTTCTGTCACACTCATAGATCATTTCTTCTTAGATAAGAATGTCTTCAATAAATTTCAAACCCATTCTGCAATAAATAGGTTTTTAGACCATTATGGGCAAATCTCAGTACTTGAAAATTTACAGGTGATAAGGAAAAGGGACCATGTAAGAGCATTTAGGGCTATCAATAATGAGAACATAGCATATTTCCAACGGGCATTACAAAATGAAAACTGGGAAACAGTTTATGATCAAGAGAATGTTAATATGAAATTTAATAAATTTCATAATACCTTCTTAAGAATTTTAGAAAACAGCTTTCCCCTGGTGTACAAACAAAAGAAAGACATCAACAAATGGATAACCAAAGGTATACGAACATCTTGTAATCATAAAAGAGCTTTATACAATTTAGTTAAAAAATCAAATGATGAAAGATTGGAATCATACTATAAAAAGTACTGTATGAATTTAACGAAAGTAATAACAAAAAACTTATAAGTAACTCGGAAAACAAAATACAATTAACCTGGAAGATTATTAATAAAGGATCTGGGAAAAGGAGGGGCCCAGATAATATAACCGAATTGAAAGTGAGGAAAAGCAAAGTAACTAATACTAAGGAAGTAGCAGAAGTATTCAATAAATACTTTATAACTGTAGCTGAGAATCTGGAAGTGAAAAGTGCCAATAAAAGTGAAGCAATTAAATTCTTAGACACTTTGGAATTTGATAAATTCCCTGAACTGAGGCTAATACCCACAATGGAGGTGGAAATAAAGAGCATACTTATGTTGCAAAAATCAAAAGATTCTACAGGATATAATGGCATTTCTAGCAAGATATTGAAATATTATATAACTGAGATAAGTAAACCATTGTGTCACATATTTAATGCATCTTTTGAGCATGGAATATATCCTAATAGAATGAAATTTGCCTCATTAAGACCTATATACAAAACAGGTGAGAAGGCGATTATGGCAAACTATAGACCAATATCATTGTTAATAAGTTTTTCTAAGATTTTTGAAAGAGTGATGTACAATAGGATAAAGCGACACATACATATAAACTATTTAATATCTTTTGCACAGGTTTGATTTAGAGAAAACAGTAACACAGAAATGGCAATATATACATTAACTAGACAAAGAGTTGAACTTTACAAGAGTGTGAATGCAAATGCTGTTCAGACTGGGGAACTGTCAAATATGGAGTGCCACAGGGCTCGATTTTGGGTCCTTTGTTGTTTCTTTTATATATTAATGACCTGCTGTCAGCATTAAGTACTGACAACAAGTCATTGTTGTATGCTGATGATACAAGTATATTAGTGTTGGGTATTAATATCGATGAAATTCAAGAAAAGTCTAAACTTATGTTAAATTCCTTAAGTCAGTGGTTTAAATACAATGGCTTATCCCTAAACTTGAGGAAAACTAAAGTGTTAAAATTTGAAACAATCAATCATGACAATAAGCCTTTACATTTAAAGTTTAACGATGAATTATTACAAGAGGAAATTCATATTAAATTTTTGGGCATTGAAATTGATAAGTTCTTGTATTGGAAGACACGGGTCGAATCACTGTTATCCAGATTTCGAAAGGCATGTTATGCAATACGCATTATGAAAACATATAGTAATGTTACAACACTTAAAATGATATATCATCCATACTTTCATTCACTTATGAGATATGGAATAGTTTTTGGGGTAATTCGTCAGAGGCCAAGAAGATCTTTCTCTTACAAAAGAAGACTATTAGAATAATAATGGGGATGAAATACAGAGAGTCATGTAGGCCAGCATTTTTAAAGTTAAATATATTAACACTGGTCTCTCAATATATTTTATCTTTGACGACTTTCATGATAAATAACTTGGAGTATTTTACTTTTAATTATTCAATTTATGAGAGACCAACAAGACATGAAAGAAATTTACATGTCCTACAATCACATCCCGCAATGAGGCAGAAAGGGGTCCACTGCATGAGTATAAAAATATTTAACAGTCTGCCCGATTATTTAACTGATTTAGTACATGATAAAAAACAGTTTATAAAAGAAATAAGGGATGTCCTAATACATCATCCATCATATACTGTTGATGAATTTTTGCTCTTCTGTCAGGATCAACAGCTAAGGAATAGAAGGGGAGTCCATGCTGACTGATGGATGTCCCACAGTAGGCATCAATATAGACATTAAGTGTAAATATAATCTGTATTTTATGTATTTATTTAGATGCACATTTTTTGCATTTATGTTTGTTTGTTATTGTGAATATGGCATGTTGGAATTGTAAAGATGTATTGTTGTTTGTAAAGCTTGTGACATGTTTCATATTCAGTGCAGATGGCACTTATGAATATCTTGAAATGCAGATGTATGTATGTATGCACTGTTTGTGTAATACATGTGCATGCACATGAACACACACAGTAATACAGCCATGAAAACTTAAAGAAAGTAACAGTTTTTGCTGTACTGCATTTCATAGTCTACAACATGAAATTGTTACAACAAAGTTTTCTAAGAAAGACCAAATTAAAAGCCAAGTGTGAGAAAACAAAGCTGCAATATAGCAAGACTAAAGAGTATTTTTGTATATTAACAGCATGTTTTGACATATTTTCTTTGAAACTAGTTTTGTAAGAGTGTCCATTTCTTTACAGGTTTCCATGAGGCTGTGGGGGATGCAATCACTCTGTCAGTTTCTAACCCTCGACATTTGCTAGGAATAGGACTCCTTAATAACGTCACAGATGATTATGGTATGGATAAATATTGTGATCAGAATAACTTCACCATTCACTTCTGGTTTCAGAAAAATGTAACACCATTTTCTCCTATGTTATAAATAAAGTTTTTCAGTTGTGATTTAGCACATAACTAAACAATGAAATTAGTGACCATTAATGTTAATGACTTGTTTTATTTACATATTATCAGGTGCGAATGAGCATGAACCAATGGTTCTGAAATGTCACTATTTCTTAAACCCCCCCCCCCCCCCCAAGAATATTAAATGTTAACCACTACCTAAAATATATTTTTTCTTAATTATTTCTCGAGTACTACTTTCTTTCCAGTCAGACAGACTGAAGTAATCAAGCACCACACACTTATAGATTGAAATAGTGCTTTACAATCTGTTTCTCTTCTAAAATACAAATATACTTCATGACTGTGCAACTGGACTAGACTAAAACAGTAGCATTTTCCTAAAAGAATAAATAGAGAAAATTGATATCACTGTATTTGTGAACCTGTCTAAAAATAATATTGGCATGCAAGAACTTAAGTGTAGATCCATTAGCACCCATTCAGAGCTACCATATTTTAACAAACTAATGGATGTACTTTGAAAATCTACAATAACATTTACAAATTGTGACAACTCTCTGTTCAGTATCTAACTCATCATCTGTAAGCTAATGTTTCATAATTTTTTATGGCATATCACACAAACTCTAGATTGACGCAGTATTAGGAAAACAGAGAAGCACCCATGTAAAAATATTTTTTATAAATCAAAACAAGTTTTCTGTATTTGCATCATACTCAGGTGACCTTCAATTGTTTGATCTAACTAATTAATTGTTCAATTAGATAGTTTCTAATTATCACCATCTTGTTTACATATATCTGTTCTTATTATGTACACATTGATTACAATATCTATAACAGTCCTATAGTATTTCAAACATTAATATAACACAAATCTTTTAAAATTTGTATCTTATTAATTTTTAAAATATGAGAATGTAATAAATATTGCAACCTACACACACATAATGAATATCAGAACAGATAAGTGTAAGGTAAAGGTAACTGGTTAAGTTTTTCCTGTGTTTAATGCAATGATGATGTGACTTACAAAATAAACTTTTATGTGTGAGTTATCTTTGCTTATTGAATAGAGCCCAGTTGGCAAAGAGTGATAAGCTGATAGGAAGTGGAAGTGTCATATTATTGGTCTCAGTTTTTGGCTATAAGTTGAATAAAAAGTTTTATGAAATATGAAACAATCCTAATAATACGTATAAATACATGAGTTTACCAGGTTTGGCTATTAAATGAGACTGATATTATTGGATTTTTCAATTGACCTAATCCTTCCAGCCGCACTGTGGCCCTGGGGTCAATTCAGTCTCTAACAAAAATGAGTACCAGGAATCTTCATGGGGATAAACGGTGGGTGGCGTGTAAGTCTGACAGCCTCACAACCATCTGCGAGCTGTTTGTCTAGAAAATGTGGGAGCTTCAATGTCTCACAATCCTATGAACCACCACGGACAGTTACAGTGATAGCTTTAACTTTTTTAATGGTTTCCTTAGACACATTTAATTATTCTGCTACCATTCTGATGCTCAGTTGGCAAACAAGTGTCCTTGCTTTTTCGAAATTCTCATCAATTTTCACTGTTACTCAACGATGCAGTCATTCATCATCTTCCATCAGTTCTCTTCCTTCTAACAATTTGTGTCACATATGACCTTGATAAAGTGACTTCTCTGTTCACCTTGCACAACAACTGTGGCCTTTTACTGCAGGTTCTCTTCAGTTTTATAAAAAATTTGATGTTAACATGTCATGTTTTTATTTCATTTTTTATCTCTCTGATACAAAGTGAAAGAACTTCTTCACATAAAACAACACAACTCCACGTGAACATGCTGAAACACATTTCAGCATAAAATTGAGGGAAGATTCAAGAATAACAACCATGTACTCTGTTTGTGGATAAGGGAATTGATGTGACTGCTGCATGTGAAGTATTGTTATTTAATAGCCACACCTCATATTTTAAGAAATAAAAATTTCCACCTCTTTGTACCGTGTCAGTTTTTGTTACTGAAGTTGTCTTCATTTATAGAAGAATGCTCACCAAGTATCTGATGATTATGTTCCAGAATCTGGTATCAACTTCCTGCTCTTGATGGCTCTTGAGAAAGTAGCGTACCTTCCATTTGCCTACATTGTTGATCAGGTACAGTAATATAATATTACATGTATTTGAAATGACTTGCAATAAATTTGCAATTATTTTTAGCAGCATGTATATTTATTTCATGCTTACTCACAAATTTAACCATTCTCTAACAGAAGTACAGTGTATTTCAAAGTGTCCACTCATTGCTTTGGAATAACTCTTTTGATTAAATCAAACTTCTTCCATTCCACAACTGTGGCCTGGCAAGGAATGCAAAAATTTTACAAAAGTTTCAGGTAAAACTCTTGAAGTGATAATGGGTTATAGTCAGAGAGTAGATTTTTCCTTTTGGAATTTTGCACCTTTAGAACTACTGCAAAATGTAAGAATCTGCAGAGAATATCAACTTCATTTTTATATATTAAAATGTCATATACATACATCCCCCTCGTTGTTGGAGGAACTGTTTTGGAAGAGACTGTGGACCTGTTGTCTGACAGATTACTGATGAATGAATGAATACATACATATACATAAAAGTGACCTCCAAGAGGATAAGATCATAACATTTTCAGTTGACACATAACAGATAAAAATACCTATGATACGAAGTTTGTTAATATGTGAATGTGGATTTTTTCTGTGACATGGAATAACAACGTGTCTTATAGTCTAAGAAGACTACAGAACAATATGATGTACTGCCTGCTTGGTATTCAGGAGATCCAGTCAGTGGTTGAATGCCAATAAGATTCTAAGACAGATATATTTCACTTGATGTAGATTTTCTATTTTACATCTCAATATAAAGTGTTTATGCATGGGAAAATTAAATGTTTTATTATGTCTAGTGGCGCTGGGGATTGTTTGCTGGTGATTGGAATATTGATGAAATGAATGCACGCTGGTGGGAACTGCGACTGAGGCATCAAGGAGTTATTCCTCCCATTCCACGAACTGAGAAAGATTTTGACCCTGCTTCCAAATACCATATTCCTGCAGATATGCCATACACAAGGTAAGACAGTCTATGGTGTAAATAAGTAGATGGGAAAATTACAGTAACTCTTTCCAGTCTGTAAGAGCAGAAAATAAAAGCATCTGAAAGGAAAAAGACAAAATGACTAGTTAGGATAAACTTACAAAGTGAAAAACACCCCAGTGTTTACTCTTATGCTGCTGTTATTAGGCTTATAAAATTCAGGAGTTAAGATGGGTGACTCTGAATAAGAGAAATGAGAAACACATAGAAAACATCTGGTGGAGAAACATATACAACTTCAAAGATGGGGAAGTTGATGTTCTTAATTTCGCCTCTCGCATTTTTGATCAAGATTTCGGTGATAGTGGTGAAATTGATTGTGCGAAATGTCAAATATTGAAGGACTATCTTAAACTTGCAGCAACGGAATTAAAGTCAGCTCAACAAGTAATCAAGATTTTGTATGAAGAAAGAGCTGAATTGAATAACCTCAAAAACCATGTGAATCCAACCAATGTAACGAATAGAATCTCTGTAAACGTGAGATGTTGGAAGCAAAAGTCAGTTAAAGTAAATCATATAAGTGAAATTTCGGATAAGGTAAAACATAAAATCAGAATTGTAGGTGATAGTCATGCAAGAGGTCTAGCTAATGAATTAAAAGGCAAGCTAACTCTGGACTTTGAGACTCAGAGACTGGTAAAACCCGGATCTCCAGTGGGAGAATTAGTACACCTCACCGACTCGGATTTGAAGGATCTAACGATGAATGATGTGTGTGTTGTGTGGGGTGGTTCAAATGATGTTGGTCGAAATGAGTCTAATCTGGGAATGCGAGCATTAAAACAGATAATTAGTTCTCTTAATCACACAAATGTTATAGTGATAAATGTCCCACCCAGATATGACCTTGCACCAAACTCCTGTGTGAATGATGAAGTTCAAAAGTTTAATAGAAAACTCGTGAAGTTAGAAAAGGCTTACTTAAATCTTTCTATAGTAACAGTGGACTCAAATCGGGACTTATTCACCAGACATGGTTTGCATTTAAATTCTCAGGGGAAAGTGCATACCGCTAATAGACTAGCAACAGTGATAAATGGTCTGTTTACCATAAGCAAATCGGAACCAATTGTGTTAAAGTGGAGATGTCTGGGTGATGCCCAACATTGGGTACAAGATTTAGAAGCACACGGTCAAGAAGATAAAGTGGACAAAATAAATATGGAAATTAAGAAGCCACAACAGGAAAACAAAGGAAGGGGAAAGGAAGAAGATAGGGGAAGTGAAAACCTGAGTGAGGGTGAACAGACAATGAGGACATGTGAAGGTGTTGTAGGTGGGGAGGGCTCTGAGAAACAACAAATGTCAACAGTAAGATGTAAAGAAGCAGTGAGCATTAACTCAAATAAATGCAAATTAGGGAATAATATAATAGATACGAATAGCAAAGATAAAGAGATGTCAAGTACAATGAGTGGAAATCCACTACAGAACCCGATTCCAGATAGTAAACGTAGTAGACAATCTACACGTAATAAAAAAGTATCAATGGCAAGAAATAAAGATTTTTTATGGGAAATATAAATCTAGATAAGTATGATAAAGGTAACTTTAAGTCAAATAATTGCAATGTAATGAAGCAAAATAACTTCATAATTTACCACCAAAATATTAGGGGTATCAATAATAAAACAGATGAGTTAATATTAGCATTTACTTCTGAGCTACCGCATGTTATTTGTTTATCAGAGCATCATTTAAAAGAGTTTGAAATAAACAGTATTACCCTGAACCAATATGTATTAGCTAGCAAATACTGTAGGAAAAATTTTAAGCAAGGAGGTGTATGTATCTTTGTCCGAAGGAATATACAATTTACACAGATAAACAATATTGTTACATGTAAAGAGAAAGATCTAGAAATGTGTGGTGTTCAAGTGAATTCACCAAGTATGTACATAATATGTATTTATAGGGCCCCAACTGGTGATTTTAATTATTTCTTGGAAAATTTAAACAAATTCCTGAACAAATTGTATAAACACTCAAAAAACATAATAATATGTGGGGATGTGAATATAAATTACCTGGTGGATACTAATTACAAACAAAAACTGGATTCGCTACTAGCCTCATACGGGCTATATAGTACAGTTACATTTCCGACTAGAATTTGCTCTAACTCATCCACAGCAATAGATAATATTTTTATTAACAAATATAAAAACAAAAGTTTCAGTGTTCTTCCATGGGAAAATGGATTATCTGATCACGATGGGCAGATCATTATAATATACAATGTTACATATATAATGAAGCAAAATCAGAGGTATACCCGTAGGGTCATCAACGAATCCTCTCTATTAGACTTCCAAATTAATCTGAGCTATGAATTATGGGATGATATTTTTGTAGATAGTGATGTGGATACAATGTTTAATAACTTTTTAAATACTTACCTTAGGATTCTAAATTCATGTTTTCAGATCACAAAATCACAAAGTATAGATGCTAATAAATCATGGATAACCCCAGGAATTATAAAATCATGTAATAAAAAGAGGGAACTCTATATAAAAATTAAGAGCAATAATGATTCTAGATTAAAAGAACACTATAAAATGTATTGCAAGATATTAAGTAGAGTTATCTCAACAGCAAAAAAGTTATATCTGAACAAAGTCATAAGAACTTCCAATAATAAAACAAGAACAACCTGGAAAATTATAAAAAACATGACTGGAAATAGCCAAGCTTCTACTAAGGTGACTTGTTTAAATATAAAGGGTAATATCACTCAGGACTACAAAAATATAGTAAGATCGTTTAATAACTTTTTTTTAGATATAAGCAATTCTACGAAGAAATGGACAAATAATACTGTGGAAACAGATAAGAAGTTCATGGATTATTTATACACTTCATTTCCAAAACCATCTCAGAAATTGGTATTAAAAGCAACTAACAGCAATGAAATAGAAGAGATAATAAGATCTATAAAACTCAAAGCAGCTTGTGGATATGATGGAATTACTACCAAATTAATAAAAGCAAGTGCACCATATATATCATCACCATTAACTTACATATTTAATAAGTCATTGTCTACAGGAATATTCCCTGCTCGATTAAAATATTCTGAAATAATACCCATACACAAAAAAGGGGATAAAACCGACATGTCTAATTATAGACCTATATCTTTACTCCCAATCTTTTCTAAAATTTTTGAAAAAGTTATATATAAAAGAATGATTTTCCACTTAAATACACATAACCTGCTAACGCAGGAGCAATTCGGCTTTAGAAAAAACTCTTCAACTACATTGGCTACTTATAATCTAATGGAGAATATTTATAGGGCTTTAAACAACAAATATATAGCGGGTGGAATTTTTTGTGATCTGAGTAAGGCTTTTGACCGAGTAAATCATGATATATTGCTATCAAAAATGGACTTTTATGGAATTGAAGGAGCTGCTCAGAAACTTATAAGATCCTATTTGAGAGGAAGATACCAGAGAGTAATTTTGTATGAAAACGGGAGTAAATGTTGTTCTGAATGGAAAGAAATACAGTGCGGAGTGCCTCAGGGCTCTGTATTAGGCCCAGTGCTCTTTTTACTATATGTAAATGACTTACCAAAAATTATATCTGACCTATCCAAACCAATATTATTTGCAGATGATACAAGTATCCTTATCTTTGATAAGAATCCTGCAACATTTAAAATTAGAATAAATAAATTATTTGAGATGATAAATGAATGGTTTAGGAAAAATGAGCTAGTAATAAATTATGAAAAAACTTATTTTCTACAGTTTAGAACTAAAAACAGTAAAAACTTAGTTATTTAACAATCAAATTCCAAGTATTTCTAATATATCGTTTCTGGGATTAAAAATTGAAAAATTTTTAACGTGGGAAAGTCATATTGATGCAGTAATTGATAAGTTAAACAGATCCTGTTTTGCAATCCGATCAGTTAAATCCTTTTTACCACTGGAGACATTAAAAATGATGTATTTTTCCTATGTACATTCTATAATAACGTATGGATTAATATTCTGGGGTAACTCCCCGCATAGTATAAAAGTGTTTAGGATGCAGAAAAGGATAATTAGGATTATAACAAACACAACAAAGAGAACATCGTGTCGTAGTTTGTTTCAAGATTGGATATCCTCCCCCTACAAGCTCAATATATATTGTCGATCTCTCTGTTTGTCATAGTAAATAAGGAATTGTTCACATTCAACTCACAAATGCATAATTGTAGTACCAGTTCTATCTGTGATCTGCATTATCCGCAAACTAGTCTGACACAATTCCAAAAAGGAATATGTTACTGGGGGTAAAGATCTTTATTCATTTGCCACCAAAAATCAAATCTGTGTCTAATGACTTGAAAAATTTTAAAATTCAGTTGACAACATTTTTATTGCAAAACTCTTTTTATACATGTGATGAATTCTTTAGTAACAAAT